AAGTACTCAAATACTTGTACTTAGTAGTAAAGTAGAAGATATATATATTTTGTACTTGAGTAAAAGTAGAAGTACTCAGATCTTGTACTTGAGTAAAAGTAGAAGCACTCAGGTCTTGTACTTGAGTAAAAGTAGAAGCACACAGATCTTGTACTTGATTAAAAGTAGAAGTACTCAGGTATTGTACTTGAGTAAAAGTAGAAGTACTCAGGTCTTGTACTTGAGTAAAAGTAGAAGTACTCAGATCTAGTACTTGAGTAAAAGTAATAGTCCCAGAGTGTAGGAATACTCTGTTACAGTAAAAGTCCTGCATTCAAAATGTTCCTCAAGTAAAAGTAGAAAAGTATTATCATCAACATATAGTGAAAGTAGCGACAGTAAAAGTACTCATTGTGCAGATTGGTCCATTTCAGAATAATATATATGATATGTTTTATAACTGGTTGGGATGTTGTGTCTTGCAGTAGAATAGTTCTTTAGGAGTTATTATTGCCAACTTGAATTCAGATCATCCAGTTAAAGAGAAGTCATTCATTACTGTTGTATCCTTTACTAGCTAAACCTACAGCTACACCTAGTTAAGTAAAGTTTTCTAACTTACTAGGTTTATAGAAAGCTTCATCCTCCAGTGCTTAAAATATGAAGCCAATGCCAAAGTGCTAAAATCCAGCAGTTTACTGAATGGCTAGCTCCAAAAGCATCCCTTAAGACACCCATGTTAAAATGCCCGACTTTACAGCTCAAATCTAAATGTTCAGAGACAGTTTCATAAAACGGTTTTGGTCTCAATAGTTAATGTTTCAGTTTGGGACAACAGTACGGGGTGAATGTTTAACGTTTTTTTACTTTTTAGCTGACTCTCTTTGCTGACACCTTATGTGCTCATCTCTTTTATCAATGTGGCGTTGGATACCAAAACAAAAGCATGTGTGTTCAGCTGACTCAACCAAGGCTGTCTGTTCTTGATATAATTGTCTGGAAACAGTTTTGTTTCTGTAAATGTGAACATTTTTGCAGAAGACTATGCTCTCCTTCCACCAGCTGGAGTTAGTTTAAGCCTTTAATCTTGGTTTCGCGTAAAATCTGTTGTGTCCCCAGATCAGCTTTTTACTATCATTAGATTAAAGCAACATATAACAAGAGAAAGCTTATATATGGTGGAGAACTAGACAAATAAAGATTGTGGTGTGTGTTTTCTGTCCTAGCAGTGTGAGGGAGTGTGAGGCCTCAGCAGGATCTGTTCAGGGAATCAGCTTCTTCTGATCACTGCTACACATCACCAACTCCCTGCTAACCTCTCTCTGTTTGAATCTGTAGATGACGATCCAGATTTTGTTGGTGCTGATTGCCCTTTCATGTGTACCCGGTATGCTGTTTGTGAAAACTTTGATGCTTCGGCGTCAGCACCTGTGGAAACTGGAACTGGTATGTGGATCTCACCCCACCTATTGCCTTACTGCCACCTTTGAACATTTATGACCTTTGATATAACCTTTTTTTTTTTTCACTCCTATTCCGTCATTCATTTCAATGGACATTGTATAACGTGGTTGGTGGTGTTGTCGTGAAAAATGCTTAAAGCCTGCCTTGGGAACGCTCATATTTTGGTGTTAGATTTTGGTAGAAAGAGTAAGGGCACCCTAACAGCTGATGAACTGCCACTGATTTCTACCTGGTTATATGACCTGTTATATTCCAAACAAATCCATATGCAACAAACATGAACTTATTGAGATACCTGATATATCAATCTGATGCTCTCATGGCTTTCACTTGTTGTTTTACACTTCGAAGAAATGCAGTCCCATAAGAACTAAGATTAATACCAATTATAAAACATTCACATTTGTTTTACCATGTTTATGAGAAGAGGAAGAGTCCTACATTTAAACGTTTAAAGTTGTGCCAGATATATATTTTTTGCAGCTAGTCTTTAGATAAAGAAATATGTTTTATTACATTTTAATATGTTTATTATAGTTTTAGAAGAAGAAAATGAAATGCAGTTAGCATCTAACAAGAAGTGCAAAAGAAGCAGTAAAGTGCATTGTGATGTGTACTATAATAAAATAATATACATATGACAAGTATAAAAAAGCTCAAGTACATAGAGTATTAACTGTTTATATGGATTATAAAGACTATAAACGCGGCATAAAATGTGTATAGATATGAAATGCACTATAGAGCTGGTGTAAATATAGACAGTACAATATAGACACTATACTGTTTACAGAATATGAATACACTGTAGAAAGTTATTGACACTTATCACACTGTTCCTCTTCTGACATGCAGAGTATGTAGAGTTGTTTGGAAGCACCAATCTAATAAACCTCATTTGCATGCGTACCGACCAATCAGACGATGCCTCAATCCCAGGCTGCTGTATGATTGGCCGGAGAGTTGACAGCATGGTGCCTTTTAAAGTATTTCAAGTGCAGACTCTACTTTAAAACATTCTATCTTAGACTGTGTTTGTTTAGGTTTAACTGGAGTTAAACCAAAACAAACACAGTCTTAGATAGAATGTTCACTGGAGTGAAGCCTGTGAGCAGTGTCATGTTTCAAGTGGTGGATGTATTTCATTTTGGAATGAAAGCCTTCTCTCTGTACCGGGTGCCCTGTTTCTTAAATCAATGTGAGTAAATGAAGAAAGCGTTCATCCTAAGGCTTGCTTTAATCTAGACACAGCTCTTGTGGCTTTTGTATCTAGTCCAAGAAGAGGGAAGAAACCCCTGCAGAGAATCTAGAGCAGTCTTTAGAGCAAACAGGCGTTTCCTCATCACGCTCCGGACTCACCCAACAGGGCACGCAGAAGTTCGGAGCGGTGCGGGTGGGCAACGGGCCCACGGAGGACGAGGCTGGCATCATGGAACATGACCACCTCTCCCAGCACTCAGAGGAAGGAGATGAGGTGAGACAATGACATATCCACACAAATCAGTGATTCCAGTTCCATCTTCTTCCCAAGGGGTGATTTTAGGTTTTTAAATGAGATGGCTCAGGGAGGACTAAACCAATAGAGGGGCAATGGCAAATTCTTCTTTTTTTTAAAAACTAAAGTGAGCATCATTGGCTTAAAAAAAAAGTGCCATGTTTTTCATGCTCTTGTGCAACCTTGAACAGTGCCACTGATCTTGGAATTGCCCCTGTTAGTCTAGCCCAGTGGAGTTTAACAGCCCCCCTTTAGACACGCCCCTGCCTCTTTTAGACTCTTAATTTAACTTACACCCAGGAGACCACTCTTTCTGTCCTGTGTGAAACCAAAAGTCAGTGTTTACTTGTTTTAAATTAGGAACGTACTTAACATACCTAACTACGTAACTACTGTAATCGACTTGAAACTATTTCCTTTTTCCTAAACTTAACCAAGTTGTTTCCTGTGTACAAAGAAGTTTATTTAAAAAAGACATAGTATGTTTTGTAAGGAGAAGAAACTGACATTATGTACATAGCATCATAGCTTGAAGCCTACGGCCAAGCTGCTGTTTTTGACGAATTGGAAGTGGGATTGATTTTCACGTTATCTTATTTTCTGGTGATCAAAAAGACCTAAATGTTAGATTGTTCAAAGTAATGACTCATATTGGACTCACTTACTAACATGCAGTATGCCTTATATTTAAATATATTAGATTCATTTCTAAAAGTAAGTATCAAGCCTATTATTAAAACATATCCTAAATAGAAATCTTCTGGCTCATTCTCCATCTCTTTGCTTTATTCCCTTTAGTGTCTTCTTATCACCGGGTGGTCTTTTCCCTTGAGTAGTACCAATAGGTGAGGGCAGCATCAGCGTGCAGAGAGAAAGGCAGGGCAGGGATGGACTGGAGCAGATAACACATGGATTTTCCATTTCAGAAACATAAACAGAGAGGTGCTTTTCATGAGAACCAGCGAGTGGAATTTATGAAAATATCTCCCAGAATTTTTTTTCTATCTGTGACTCAGAGTTTTGGTGTCTCCCATGTCTCCTGCGTAATACATCTCTGAGTGTTTATGTTGCGATAACATATTGCATAACTGTAATGTTATAAGAATGCATTTTGTCATCATTGTTCCAAGCGTATGATATTCCATGTTGCCCTAACTTAAAAACAGGGTTATGGGGTTTATGTTGTATGTTGTTTTCGGTCACTAAATACTACAGAAAATGTTAACACTGGTATACAGTATGAAAGGTATAGTCTCTTTTGTGTTTTCTCTAGATCTTTGTTTGTCTAACTGACTTGACCTGCTAATCAGTGGCAGGTTATTTGGGAATTTAAACATATTTAGCTGTTGTTGCACTGGTTCAAATCAGGTGTGGCGTGTGTTCCTAAAACTGACAGCTGAACCCGGTAGTATTCATGTGTTTAAAGTTAGGATTTTTCAATGTGAGTCTACATGTACTCACATTCCATATTTATATAACTTTGTTTCATCTATAATTCACTGTTAGCTTACCAGGCTAATGCAATTCATTGGCTTCCATTTGCATGCCTATCGCATTACTTTACACAATAGATGCAGATTATAGTAACTATCCGAAGGAGAATGAGAGAAAAGTATTTTTAAATCACATTTTAAAATAATTAAAAGGACTTGAGTCCAAAGCTTTATCCAACAATTTGGCCCGAACCCGACTTTGAAGTCAATTCCTTTATGAAGACCTGTTAGACTTGGATGAGGTTCTCAAACTTGAGAAATCTAGTAAAATAAACTGCAAAAATTGAATGTAACCTTGTAGTTCGATACAGTTCCTGAATGCTGCCACTAACCTTTGACTTTTTCTTACTTTCAAGCCCTCAGAAGAAGAGCCGGTAAGAATGGTGTTTTGTTTGTTTTTAGCACGTCTGGATGCTGTCCTGCCTGATCTGTTTGTGTCTTTAGAGCCAAGTGGTGTGTTTTTTTGTTTGAACTCTGGTTTGCTCTGTCTAAACCTCTTCTACTCCTATACTGCATCTCCCGATACCAGGCATCATGTTTACGTGTTTGATTGTGAAGATTTCTATTTGTGTCTGTGTCAGTGCTCATTCTTGGAGTCTTTATTGTCAACATATTTTAAAGGTGTAACAAACTACTGCGATGCAACAAGTCCATCTTTTATCGGTAGGATGATTTCTCTAAATGTCATTTGTTAAAACAAGCCAGAATAAGTTTAATAACTCTGCTCGTATCAAGAAAATGACAAACGTTTTTAAATCCTCTATGTCCTCTATCCACACATGAGTCTAAAACCAACAAAAGGGTTGCTATTACATATTATTAATAGTGTTGTCTTATGGTGGGATCATGTTTTACAATATTTATACCTTTTCAGATGGTCGGTGTATCTGTTTAGGTGATTATTAATTGTGTTTACGTCGAAACAAGGACGAGTTTAATCATTCACAAGACAAGTGTTGGTTAAATCAACCTTCAGTCTGACACGAGAACAACAGTATCTCTACGTATATCCACATTTAGGTTTCTGTCTCCAGTAATACAGCCACCTTGTGAAATATTTTCTCATTTAACTTTGCCTCTGAGTCTTCTTTTGTTTCTGCATCTGTCTGAATCAGTCTGAAAGTAGTTTGTGGATGCTAAAAAACTGTCTTTTGACTGAGTTTTTTTTATCATTCTGACTCAAGTCTAAAGACTAAATGATGGGACTGTTCAGCTGAACTTTCTGTTCACAAAATGTCTGACCGGAGTCCCTTACCCCGGTGCATTTTGCCATTACAGCATGTTAACCCGGGTTGTTTTCATTAGCCGCTTATGTCGGAGACCCTTTGAATGGAAACAATGAGGGCTGCTTCCATGAACTTTATTTCATGGCTCCAAGGACAAAAGAGAAGCATGGAAAGAGGAAACCAGACCAGTGCAAAAGCCAAAGCCAACAAGAGCCGCTCAGATCATTAGAGTCCCATGTTCCCCACCCCTGCCCGCCTCGTACAGGAAAGGCTTGCTCCAGGAAGCAGAGAACGGAGGAACTGTGCTGGCTTTACAACACACCAACAGCTGTGATCTAGCTGGGGGGAAAAGAAGGAACAAACTTAAACAAGCTCCTTTGCTCTTTGTCTTCTGTCCGATCAGAGCTACAGGCCTAGGCAGGGGTCAAAGGTCAAAGCAGAAACTAATTAAGATGATAACGCTCATTTCCATGGTTCATGCCCTGCTGGCAGCTCATTGTTGTCATTGGCAACATGCTGCCTGGCACCGCTGAGTAATAATCATATAGCAGTGTTAAGTAGAGAGTGTTTCTTTTAGACACCCCACAGTTGATAAGCTATGATGACTCATATGTATGATAACACACTGGAAATTGTTCAGCTATATTCTTTTTCTGCAATATTTACTATTGCAGTCAGTAACTTCAAAAATAAACTGTGTTGATGTGTGTTCATTTATTCACATTTTTATATTTAAACAGTAATATGATCTTAAAATGTATCACCGTTCTTTAAGTATGTGCAATACTTAATCTCAACAGTAGCCTACCTAATCAAAGCTCCTGTTGTGATCATCTAAGGAGTTCCTTAAAGTTGGTTTCAAGTTGAAACTCAGTTGATGCTGACCTGAAGGTTACCAGTTCAACCTTCGGGCTGAAAGGAAAAGTAAACAGGCAGTGTTTTCCCTCATTAGCACCAAGGAGATATCCCTGAGCAAGGCTGATGTGAATACTGTAACAGTTATCAGCTCAATGCCACTGAATGTAGACAAATAAACACGTGTCTGTTGCTATAACTACGCTGGGTGTGCTCACCATCTTGTCGTTCCACCACAGTTTGACTTTGGTGATGTAGCTGTTCACCAGGCCATCCACACCATCGAGTACTGTCTGGGATGCATCTCCAACACAGCCTCCTACCTGCGCCTCTGGGCCCTCAGCCTGGCTCATGCACGTGAGTAAAACATACACAAGCATTTTATTCAAAAAAACGTAATTTAAATTGGCCATAGACATGTTTTCTGCTATAACTTATCACAACAACCTCACAAATGTAACGACAGTAGAATAATGACACCTTCAGTGTTTAGATTGGTTCCCTATAATGGAATTCTGTCTGCCATCAGCTAAGACCTACAGGGGAAATAAAGGCTCCATTTCAGCACATAGGAAGCCTGTCAGATATTGTGAGCCAAAACAGGAAGAGGTTTAGCACTTTTATTTTCCCAAGAAGCTATCAAGTAACTAAAGAGTATCAATGTAACTTATTTCCAGTTACTCTCCTCAGTAACTGAATTGGAAAAACAGTGGAACAATAAGTGTGGAAAACAAAATGCAGTGTTGCCAATTCTTTTCCAGTGGAAGTAGCTAGGACCAGCTCCAAACGTCACTAACGCTGGAGCCACACGAGAACGGTAAGGCAAACGAAGCGAAATCGTTATCAAAAAAGTCTTCCGTCCACACGCAATAGGCACCAGAAACTTGTCCTTCCACACGAGACCGCTCGACCCGCTGTAGTACATATGCCGGGCCTGTAAGTGGCGCTGTACTTCTGCCACAAAATACACCAAAAGCAGCGAAGATGGTTGCCCTTCTGTTTATTCTCCGCGGTGGATTTAGCAGCAGAGGTGGGGAGAGGCAGGGCTCTTTTTCTCCGTCAGCAGCAGCTGATCTCTGATCTCTCTCTCTCTCCTGTCCGATTAGACTTCACTCGCGTTTATGTCCATATCGATCAGATCTAGCTAGTTCTAGCTAATGATATGACTGCCTGAGTGTCAAAGGACACCTAAACAATAAACAACATTTTGACCGGAGAATTTTAGATTTCGGCTAACGGAAACTCTGCCGTGCGGGGGGGTCTGCTGGAGGCACCTGCTGGGTGCACTGTCGGAAAGCTGTTGTTGTTGGCGAAACACATCAGCAATGACGTGGGGGACACGGGGGTGAGCAGGAGAGGCGGGGCTATTGTGTCATCGTTATCAGAAAATGATCAATCAATCAATCAATCAATCAATCAATCAATGTTTATTTATATAGCCCAATATCACAAATGTTACATTTGTCTCAGTGGACTTCACAGTTTGTACAGAATATCAGTATGACAATACGACACCCTCTGTCCTTAGGCCCTCACATCGTACAAGGAAAAACTTCCAGAGAAAACCCACAGTTTAAAGGGAAAAATGGGAGAAACCTCAGGGAGAGCAACAGAGGAGGGATCCCTCTCCCAGGAACGGACAGACGTGCAATAGATGCCGTGTGTAAATTGAAAAGATAATACATTTGCAACATAGGTAGTCCAAATGTTTGGAAATGCATGTGTGTATAATAGGAAGATGAATCCATGAGGATATCCATCCAGGACTTATGATCCAGGACCACAGCCACGACTCAAGATCCAGGACTCGCGATCCATGACACAGGACTGCAGGATCATCCATGACTCCGGATCCCGGCGTATATAGACAACAAAAAGAAAGACATTTGGGGAAGCTGGGTTAATCGGAACATGAGAGTACACAGGTATAGACAGAGAGAAGGAAGAAGTAAAGATGTCCCCCAACAACTAAGCCTATATCAGCAAAACTAGGGGCTGAAATCTATCAGCCCTAACTATAAGGCTTTAATCAAAAAGGAAGGTCTTAGCAGCCACTCTTTAAAAACGGATAGGGGTGTCTGCCGCCCCGAACACAAACTGAAGCTGATTCCACAAAATTGGAGCTTGATAAGAAAAGGCTCTGGCTCCCATTGTACTTTTAGAGACTCCAAGAACACAACAAACCCTGCATTATTGACACGCAATGCCCTAGTAGGACAGTAGGGGTATAAATGAGTTCTTTAAGTAAGATGGCACCTGCCCATTAAGGGCTTTGTAGGCGAGAAGAAGAATTTTAAATTCTATCCTGTGTGCTATAGGGAGCCAGTGTAAGGCAGCCAGAAACAGGAGTAAATGTGGTCCTTTCTAACTCTGGTTAGCTTACACGAGCTGCAGTATTTTGAATCAGTTGAAGCGAACTTGACTGACTTCTTGGGTACACCTTGATAATAAGGAGTTACAATAATCCAGCCTTGAGTAACAATACATGGGACTAGTTTCTCTGCACCGTTTTGAAGGGCAAGATATGCCCTGATTTTGCAANTATTGAAAAAAAGTTACATACAATAAAAAAAACGCTGTGGGTCAAATTGACCCGATGGCGGTGCTAGTGTTAATCCCATATAATTGTAGAATGAACACACTGTGTTCATTCTACAATTATATGGGATTAACACTAGCACCGCCATCGGGTCAATTTGACCCACAGCGTTTTTTTTATTGTATGTAACTTTTTTTCAATAGAATATGAAAGTCTCCCAGTCCGTGAATTTTCCTGAAAGTGTGTTATGTAGCACCCTCCTTAGTTAAAAATTGTCAATATGAAGTCNATATATATATACTTATACCACCTCTGTTTATAGCCTATGAAAAAAACTATTAGAAATAGAAGGCTAAAGCTAACGTTAGCAGATAGTGACAATGTATGCTAGCTAGCTAGCTCAACGATTCCTTAAATAATATTGCCACAGAAAAACTTTTCAGTTCACATCACGCTCTGCCGCTCCGACAGGGAGCTCTGCTCTGAACACCTGAACAAGCCCGTTCTAACAGCTGTTCACCAGCGGCCCAATCTGTGCCACAGTGACTCCGGACGCACAGTTAATATTAACGAACGCACCGGTAGGTAATGTAGCTGCTGAAGCTAGACCATCATCTAGGAGCAGCAGAGCCTTATTATACATCCATGAGCAGAGCCGACAGGCAGGAAGACTCGAGCACACAGCTCACACTTCATTATAATATATAAAAAAAGAACACCATGCGTGTCATGATGGCACATAACAGCTCACGGCCGCAGATTACTCCGGGTCCCAGACCCCCCCATACCCCAAAAATATTTGTATTGCAGATCTACATGAATCACACAAACGACCTATTTTGGATTCAAAACGGCGAATTTCGCCGAAAGGTGACAAGTTTGCATCACTGTATAAAGAACATGTTTTTATGAACCACACAGCTTCTGGTCTTCCAAGACCCAACCGGACAAAAAGATGTGTTGCAGGCACGAAACATACTACCAATAGAAATGCATTGCTTCTAAAATCGTTCTGTGTGACACGGAAAAAAGGTGAAAATCGTGTTGGTGAACACGAATCAATTGATTAAATGTTGTGACTATAACACGAAATGCCGTGAGACTGGGTTGGACAGTCAGCAGGACAGCCTCAAATGTAGGCTAAATCTGCAGCCATATCCTTACGTTTTTTACTGAAACTGAAATAAGTCACGTGCTTTGACACCCTCTCAGCTATGATTTAAAATGCCTTCTGGTATATCCAAAAACATGAATGAAAAACAACTGATAAAACATAGATAAATATGAAGTGTAGGTGATGAAAACAAAAGTACAAATCCAATCATCAGTTCATTAAAAAGATGTTAGTCAAAATGCTAAATCATCAACCATTCCTTTGAGCTTTAAAAAAAGCCAGTTAGCACTAAAACACAGAAGGTCCTGACTCCTCAACCCAGTCTCACGGCATTTCGTGTTCACCAACACGATTTTTAATCTATTGATTCGTGTTCACCAACACGATTTTCCCCTTTTTTTCGTGTTGCACAGCACGATTTTAAAAGCAATGTATTTCTATTGGTAGTCTCACGACATTACGTGTTATAGGAAGACCGGAAGCTGTGTGGTTCATAAAAGCATGTTCTTACTCAATATCAAGCCACAATTATTGCTTTTATTTTAAATCGTATAATTTCGGACTTTTGTTGCCGTCTGTGAGGAAAATAAATGATGCTGAGAGCCTCAGGATACTGAAATCTGTGGGAGTCACCGACTGAGGAAGGAGACACGGGGAGAGCTGGAGCTCTGTAGTCAAACATCCATCCATCCATCCATCCATCTTCTCCCGCTTATCCGTGGTCGGGTCGCGGAAGTAGCAGTTCCAGCAGAGAGCCCCAAACTTTCTTTTCCCTGGCCACATCAACCAGCTCTGACTGGGGGATCCCAAGGCGCTCCCAGGCCAGCGAAGAGATATAATCCCTCCATCTGGTTCTAGGTCTACCCCTTGGTCTCTTCCCAGCTGGACGTGCCTGGAACACCTCCCTAGGGAGGCGCCCAGGTGGCATCCTAACTAGGTGCCCGAACCACCTCAACTGGCTCCTTTCGACGCGAAGGAGGAGCGGTTCAACTCCGAGTCCCTCCCGGATGACCGAACTTCTCACCTTATCCCTAAGGGAGACACCAGCCACCCTGCGGAGAAAACCCATCTCGGCCGCTTGTACCCGCGATCTTGTTCTTTCGGTCATGACCCATCCTTCATGACCATAGGAAAAGAAATCATGCTTCAATGGTCACGCTGCGGGCGGTACGGTTCCGTACCCCCG